TCATGAGCTGTAACATTTTAACGAGTGGGAAAACTGTGATGGCTGTTTACATACAAGTGATTCGGCGGCTGTATAGCCGCCCGATCGCTTGTATTTTCTGCTGCTTCGTGTGTCCCCTCCCCCCTTCGCCGCAGCCGATCCCGGGCTCTGATGTGCCCCGTACAGGCCAGGGACCAGCATGCCGGCTCTGTGACCAGAGATCGGAGGGATCTCCCTCTGATCTCCTCCCCGCTCTTCTTAGCCTCCAATGTTATAGCACTGAAGTTAAGTGAAAAAAAAGTTTACAAATAAATTAAAGTTACAAAAATAAAACAGTGTTTGAAAGTCCCCTGCCCCCACATACACAAGCAAACATGTGTCGGGTGCGCCTACGTGTGAAAATGATGATCAGAGTGAGGGCCACGCAATTTCAAAGCTTGACATGTTTGGTGTCTATTTTCCCGTTGTGCCCCCATCTTTTGTATTTTACCAAAATTTGGGTAATAAAAAAATGTTTCACAACATAACGTAGGCAAAACTTTTTTTTCAAAACTTTTCGGGAACTTTTTTTGTTATATAGTTTAAAATAAAAACCCCAGTGGTGATTAAATACCACCAAAAAAAGCTCTATCTGTCCCCAAAAAATGATGTAAAATTAATTTCAGTACAGCATTGCATGACTGAATAAATGTTAAAAGCATCGCAGCGCTGAATACTAAAAAATGACCTGGATATCAAGTGATTAAAAAGAGAATCTCTGATGGGCACACCGGCAGCAATAAAAACTTGACAGAGTATTTACAAGGCCCCTCACCATTCTATCAAAATCCATATAAAAAAAAAAAAAGCTCTGCCCTTAGGTATACTGTACTTTGGGTCAGACATTAAACACTTGCACATAGGATGCAATCTTATTCCTAAGATCCAGGAGATCTTACTGTCTCTAGTTATTTTATTCTACCCATATTTGTATGTGACAGCTTGTTTTGGGACTTAGCAATAGTGAAAGATGAGCTAGTAGTTTCAATCTGAAAAGTTGATCTTACCATGTTAAAGATACCTTCTTCAGCACCACCATTCCCACTATCAGAAATAAATGCATTTTGTTCCGCATTCTCTATGTCATGACGTGAAGCATTCACCTGTATAATAACGAAGATATATAATCAGTTTTTTTTACTGGTTTTGAAGTATTTTAAAACATGAAAAACAAGTAGGAAAATATGAGCAATTTTTAAAAATTCCGTATGCTGCTGTGTGGCTGCTTACCGTCATTTCAAATGTGTGAAAAAGCAAATCTATCTTACAGAGCTGTATTCAAACATATCATGCAAAATTTATAAATATTAGGTGTAATGGGTAAAAAAGAAATGAGACCCTCCCAGTTCTCTAAGACAGTAGACCCCTGCAACGGAAGACCATGGCAAAACAACAGCTTAGTTAAAAGATTCTTAGTCTTGGATTGTGCAGAAATTTGCTTTATTGCTTTGTCCACATTGGAAGTGATGGTGCAGAGAAAATAAAAACCTGAAAGATCACTTTTTAATCTTGCAAAATGTAGTAAACACCTTTAGAGGATCACATGCTTTACCATCCCTTTTTGCAAGTCTAAAACAAATTTTATTTTCAATAGTTGCACTCCACACACAGGTATTTTGACCACTTGCGGTCCAGCCACTGCATGTAAATGGCGGGTCTGCTGCCCTACTGTGGATGTACACAGTTTGGCTGTTAGAGTAAAGGGGTAGATTGCCAACACCAGAGACTTTAGTGCTCCACAAGCCAACCAGCAACAGTGTTCTACTACCACTGTTCTAGTACTAGTGCCCTGATCGCCAGCCAGCACTAGTGTTCAAGTACCAGTGTCATCCAGAATCCATGTCCTAAACACCAGCCACAACAGTACCAGTGTAATCAGGTACCAGTGTAAGAAATTCCAAGACCCATATTAAAATAAAATCAATTTGAATATATCCATTTAATAATTTAATAGGTGTATATGGTGGAGGATTTTTAAAAGGTTTAACTTGACAAAGAGTGTACGGTTGCCACCCATGTGTGAAAAGGATTGCAAATGAAGGACCACAACTTTTCTGAGCAGAGTATGATGAAAGGAATTAGTTTGTTAGGATGCTTATCTGCAGATCTCCCCTTTTGGTCTGTGAGAGCTGATATGTTGGGTGTTGCCTCCTTAAGATCAATGGTCACCTTGCTATGTTAAAATTGCGAGTGTCTGTGAGCTCAGGAAGATAACACTCAAAATAATATGCATATATACTCTTCACCGACAGGATGGAGCCAACCATGTTATGGCCAACCGAGGTCTTATTAGATCAAAGAGACTTAAGCTGCCACACAATCACTATCGTGAGATAGCTCTGATTAGGTTTTGTGGAGCAATCAGGGGTTCCTAATGATTGTGAATGAGTGTAGCTTGGATAAATGGGCATAGACCCGGATCACAGAGGAGGCCATCAGAGGAAGAGGAGGCGACCAGAGGGAAAGACTAGGCTATCTGAGAGAAAGCCATCTTGGGAGGAAGCCATCTTGGGAACCACAGTCCAGAACCTGTGTAACTTTACACGATAGGTAATATACGTACATGCAATTGATGAGTTATGCCAAACAGTTTATGATATTTTATGCTAGTGTTCCTGTGGTAGTACTCTTTGATATATGGTTTGTAGTTTTTGTTATTACTCTAATCTTTTCTTTATTAATCAAGCTATGTATGTTTAAATTCCTGGTACAATATATTATTTTAAACCTACAGTTCATGGTGTGTGTTTCTTAGCTGACCTACCCCTCTCGAACAATAAGTGGTGGGTGTTGATAAATAATATGGATATAATTTACTAGTATTCATATTATTAGTAGTTGAAGTCACCCATATTTTGCTTACACCAGTGTCCTGATTGCTGGTGCTAGTACCATTGTCAGCCAGCACCAGTGTTCTAGTACCAGTGTTGGCATGAAACTGTGTCCTGATTTCGTGGTGCACTAGTACCAATGTCAATAGGTACCAATATCGGCCACATCCAGTGTCCTGATTGCAGGTCAGCACCAGTGATCTAGTACCAGTTTCAGCCAGAAACAGTGTCCTGATGGTAAGGAGGCTTTTAAAAATTCTAAGCATGATTGATGAGAGCACTGGAGAACCCTCACAGTCAGATTTTGATTGGGAATACAGTATATACTAGTAGAAAGGAGCAGTTCATTAACTGCCACCTCTGAATCAGAGGAAGAACAGGTCCCTGCTAAAAGAATCAGGCATTCTAAGTTAACAGTTGAACATCCAACGTAAATGCAACAGGCAAGCACCCGCAGTGCAATACATCCTGGTGAAGCATCCAAGAAGAATTAGGGCAACACATGATCAGAGAGACACTAGTATAGTATATTCCCAAAGGCACTTTTAGATCTTTTAAGGGTACCTTTGTTTTTGTTTTGTCCATCAGAAGGTAGTGCCGTCAGGGGTCCATCCCTACCACCGGTGACAAGCCCAGCATCACTGGGCCAGAATCTAACCAGGAGGGACTGTACCCCATCTGACACCCACCAATTACGCCGGTAAATACTAAGCCACCATCCTAATCACCTCGAGAAGGAGTGGTGTCGTTCTTCCACCGGCAACTGATAAGAACAGATACTACACTTGATCTTAGCCAAAAGGCCGAGAAGCGTGATGGACTCAATCGTCACTAGGGCTGTTGGAGAAGCCTCCTTCCTACTGACTATGGACCTAGAACTATGGAGACCTCCCTCCTTGGACATCTTGGGGTTACAAAGAACTATTATCCCAGATTTATGTGTGGAGTGGATATACTGCACCCTGTGCCCATTATAGGTACAGGATGTGAATCCAGCAGCACAGAAGGGGGTTAATTCTGGACTTAGACTTCCAATTGAACTGGTTACAGTCTTTTTGTTCATTTGTTTCAGCGTGTTAATGATGGCATTAGCATAGCTGAACCCAGGTGTAGATGAGTAGATTAACATAATACAGACACTCAGGAGATAATCCCATCCTATGTGTTTTCCCTCTTCCCTATTCTTTCATGAAGGCACCAGGGGAGGGGATTGTTTGCTAGATGTTTTCAGAACACCAGAACTGTATAAATACTGTGCTGGTTTTCAATAAAGTCAGTTCCTGTTTTGATTTCAACATTGGTGTTGCCTGATGTTTGGGGTAACTTATTTTGGGAGTTTCGTTTTCTGTCCTACAATATTGGTTCCGTCCATCAGGTAGGTTTGGGCTGAGGACGCGAGAATTCAGGTTCCAGCGGAGAGGAAGCTACATAGTGACGGAGGCAGTCAGTCGGGGTGCAGTGCGGTCCGTCACACCCTCCACTTCAGTAGCGCCTGTCACCCCCCATTTACAGCACAACCAAGAATTCAGATGAACTGAATTTTTCACTGACTCAATTTAAAAAAAAAATCTTTACTGCAGAATGATCAACTAAATTTTAGATAACCTTTACGCCCAACAATTCAATTCAAAATATTTTTATGACTGACCATTTAAGTGGAAACCTAACATTTTAAAACCTACCTAAAGTTTTAAAATGTAAAACTTTTTTCGCCCTCACTCCTAACATTGGACGTACCAGTTAAAAAAAAAGATAAAGTAAATCCTATTGGGCGCGTCACATTCCTTTATAATGCTGTGTCATGTCGAGGACACAATCAAACAATAATTAGATTTAACCTACGTGGCGGTATGATTATGTCAGGAATTTTGTGCCAAAAGCGGTACATTGTTTTTCATGTAAATTTGTTGTTTTATATTGTAGGCCTGTAATTCTTAGTAAATCTTAGGAATAACTCACCTAAATCTGTCCAAACACGAGTCCAGTAGACATCCCAGGTATGATAAAGTTTGAAACACGAAATTAAAAAATTATAATATAATAAATTATAATAAATTATAATA